AGACTGAAGCAGAGACTGAAGCAGAGACTGAAGCAGAGACTGAAGCAGAGACTGAAGCAGAGACTGAGGCAGAGACTGAAGCAGAGACTGAAGCAGAGACTGAAGCAGAGACTGAAGCAGAGACTGAAGCAGAGACTGAAGCAGAGACTGAAGCAGAGACTGAGGCAGAGACTGAGGCAGAGACTGAAGCAGAGACTGAAGCAGAGACTGAAGCAGAGACTGAGGCAGAGACTGAAGCAGAGACTGAAGCAGAGACTGAAGCAGAGACTGAAGCAGAGACTGAGGCAGAGACTGAAGCAGAGACTGAGGCAGAGACTGAAGCAGAGACTGAGGCAGAGACTGAAGCAGAGACTGAAGCAGAGACTGAAGCAGAGACTGAAGCAGAGACTGAGGCAGAGACTGAAGCAGAGACTGAGGCAGAGACTGAAGCAGAGACTGAAGCAGAGACTGAGGCAGAGACTGAAGCAGAGACTGAAGCAGAGACTGAGGCAGAGACTGAAGCAGAGACTGAGGCAGAGACTGAAGCAGAGACTGAAGCAGAGACTGAGGCAGAGACTGAAGCAGAGACTGAAGCAGAGACTGAAGCAGAGACTGAAGCAGAGACTGAGGCAGAGACTGAAGCAGAGACTGAAGCAGAGACTGAAGCAGAGACTGAGGCAGAGACTGAAGCAGAGACTGAAGCAGAGACTGAGGCAGAGACTGAAGCAGAGACTGAAGCAGAGACTGAGGCAGAGACTGAAGCAGAGACTGAAGCAGAGACTGAAGCAGAGACTGAGGCAGAGACTGAAGCAGAGACTGAAGCAGAGACTGAAGCAGAGACTGAAGCAGAGACTGAAGCAGAGACTGAAGCAGAGACTGAAGCAGAGACTGAGGCAGAGACTGAAGCAGAGACTGAAGCAGAGACTGAAGCAGAGACTGAGGCAGAGACTGAAGCAGAGACTGAAGCAGAGACTGAAGCAGAGACTGAAGCAGAGACTGAAGCAGAGACTGAAGCAGAGACTGAGGCAGAGACTGAAGCAGAGACTGAAGCAGAGACTGAAGCAGAGACTGAAGCAGAGACTGAAGCAGAGACTGAAGCAGAGACTGAAGCAGAGACTGAAGCAGAGACTGAGGCAGAGACTGAAGCAGAGACTGAAGCAGAGACTGAAGCAGAGACTGAGGCAGAGACTGAAGCAGAGACTGAAGCAGAGACTGAAGCAGAGACTGAGGCAGAGACTGAAGCAGAGACTGAAGCAGAGACTGAGGCAGAGACTGAAGCAGAGACTGAAGCAGAGACTGAAGCAGAGACTGAAGCAGAGACTGAGGCAGAGACTGAAGCAGAGACTGAGGCAGAGACTGAAGCAGAGACTGAAGCAGAGACTGAAGCAGAGACTGAAGCAGAGACTGAAGCAGAGACTGAGGCAGAGACTGAAGCAGAGACTGAAGCAGAGACTGAAGCAGAGACTGAAGCAGAGACTGAAGCAGAGACTGAGGCAGAGACTGAGGCAGAGACTGAAGCAGAGACTGAAGCAGAGACTGAAGCAGAGACTGAGGCAGAGACTGAAGCAGAGACTGAAGCAGAGACTGAAGCAGAGACTGAAGCAGAGACTGAGGCAGAGACTGAGGCAGAGACTGAAGCAGAGACTGAGGCAGAGACTGAAGCAGAGACTGAGGCAGAGACTGAAGCAGAGACTGAAGCAGAGACTGAAGCAGAGACTGAGGCAGAGACTGAGGCAGAGACTGAAGCAGAGACTGAGGCAGAGACTGAAGCAGAGACTGAAGCAGAGACTGAAGCAGAGACTGAGGCAGAGACTGAAGCAGAGACTGAAGCAGAGACTGAAGCAGAGACTGAAGCAGAGACTGAGGCAGAGACTGAGGCAGAGACTGAAGCAGAGACTGAAGCAGAGACTGAAGCAGAGACTGAAGCAGAGACTGAAGCAGAGACTGAAGCAGAGACTGAA